ACGCTGTTTCTTCTGCATATCAATGATATGTTGCTAACTGGTAACATTCATTGCTATGCGGATGACAGCACTGGTGATGCTCTATACACCGGCCGTGCCAATATTTCTCGGGAAAACGTCGCTGAGTACCGGAACAAACTTGTGTCTGAACTCGAGTCTTTGCTGAACAAAGTCTCGGATTGGGGGCGACTAAATCTAGTCCAATTTAATCCTCAGAAGACACAAGTTTGCGCGTTTACCGCTAAAAAGAACCCCTTTGTCGTATCTCCTCAGTTTCAAGGCACTCCCCTTCTTGCCTCAGCCAGTATCGGTATCCTCGGAGTCGACATATCGAATGACGTGCAGTTTCGTGGTCACTTGGAAGGGAAGGCCAAATTGGCCTCTAAAAAGCTTGGCGTGCTCAGCAGAGCGGGACAGTATTTCATGCCGGCACACCGCCTGCTACTTTACAAGGCGCAAGTTCGGCCTCACATGGAATACTGTTCCCATCTCTGGGATAGGGCTCCCCAGTGCCAGCTCCTTCCACTTGACCGCGTCCAACGCAGAGCGGCTCGAATTGTCGACGACCGAGCCCTTTCCGATCGGCTCGATTCATTGGCACTGCGAAGAGGTGTTGCATCCCTTTGCATTTTCTTTCGCATCTACCATGGGGAGTGCTCTGAGGAATTGTTCGGATTAATCCCAGCCGCCAAATTTCACGAACGCACATCGCGGCAGAACTCCCGATACCATCCACACCATCTGGATGATTGACGGTCCACCACTGTGCGATTTAGAAGATGTTTTTTTCCTCGCACGACCTCCTTGTGGAATCGATTACCATCAGCGATTTTTCCGGACCGATACGACTTAGGGACCTTCAAGAAAAGAGCGTACTCCTTTTCAAAAGGCCGGCAGCGCATCTGCGATTCCCCTGGTGTTGCAGTTGTTCATGGGCGGCGGTAGTCACTTACCATCAGGTGAGCCGCATGCTCGTTTGCCCCCTCTCCTATAAAAAAAAAATTTAAAATTGGTGAAGTTCATCTAGCCAGTATTCAAAAATTTTAAATAATAAGGTTTTGACAGAACTTATGACCCGACTAAGTATAACATGTAATTTTTTTATTTCTCCGGCATGTAGGTATGTTTCTCCTTACAAAGTAAGTTTGTCTTTTTTATTACATTTTTTAAATTTCTGTAAGCCATCACTACCATCTCTGCACAGGGAGGACGACTCACTGGCCCAAGCCGCAAAAGACAAAGCCGACCTTTTAGGCTCCTTTTTTGCGTCCAAATCGACTCTTGATGACGGGGGGAAAACACCGCCGACCATCCCGCGGTGTGAGTGGCTCCATGCCGGATGTGCTGTTCTCACAGCGCTCGGTTCGCAAAGCACTTCTCGCCTGACGGAATCCCCCCAATTGTGCTGAGGACGTGTGCTCCGGAGTTGGCACCGGTCCTAACGCGTCTTTTCCGGTACTCCTACTCCCCAGGCGTAGTCCCGAATTCATGAAAGACAGCTTTTGTCCACCCGATCCCTAAAAAAGACGACCGCTCAGACCCGTACAACTATAGGCCTATCGCGATCACCTCCTTGTTTTCAAAAATAATGGAATCCATTATTAACTGCCAGCTCATCCGGTACCTTGAGGATCACCAGCTGATTAGTGACCGTCAATACGGTTTTCGTCGGGGTCGATCAGCTGGTGATCTTCTGGTCTACCTGACCCATAGATGGGTGGAGGCAGTAGAGTCCAAGGGGGAGGCATTGGCCGTTAGTTTGGACATTGCGAAGGCCTTCGATCGGGTTTGGCACAAAGCTCTTCTTTCGAAGCTCCCTTCCTATGGGCTTCCCGAGAAATTGTGCAATTGGATCACCAGCTTCCTTGCAGATCGGAGCATCAAGGTCGTGGTAGGCGGTGCGTGCTCTGACTACAAGCCTATTAACGCTGGTGTTCCACAAGGCTGTGTGCTATCATCAACGCTGTTTCTTCTGCATATCAATGATATGTTGCTAACTGGTAACATTCATTGCTATGCGGATGACTGCACTGGTGATGCTCTATACACCAGCCGTGCCAATATTTCTTAGAAAAACGTCGCCGAGTACCGGAACAAACTTGTGTCTGAAGTCGAGTCTTTGCTGAACAAAGTCTCGGATTGGGGGCGACTAAATCTAGTCCAGTTTAATCCTCAGAAGACACAAGTTTGCGCGTTTACCGCTAAAAAGAACCCCTTTGTCGTATCTCCTCAATTTCAAGACACTTCCCTTTTTGCCTCAGCCAGTATCGGAATCCTCGGCGTCAACATATCGAGTAACGTGCAGTTTCGTGGTCACTTGGAAGAGAAGGCCAAATTGTCCTCTAAAAAGCTTGCCGTGCTCAGCAGAGCGGGACAGTATTTCATGCCGGCACACCGCCTGCAACTTTACAAGGTGCAGGTTTGGCCTCACATGGAATACTGTTCCCATCTCTGGGATGGGGCTCCCCAGTGCCAGCTACTTCCACTTGACCGCATCTAGCGCAGAGTGGCTCGAATCGTCGACGACCGAGTTCTTTCCGATCGGCTCGATTCATTGGCACTGCGAAGAGATGTTGCATCCCTTTGCATTTTCTTTCGCATCTACCATGGGGAGTGCTCTGAGGAATTGTTCGGATTAATCCCAGCCGCCAAATTTCACGAACGCACATCGCGGCAGAACTCCCGATACCATCCACACCATCTGGATGGTTGGCGGTCCACCATTGTGCCATTTAGAAGATGTTTTCTTCCTCGCACGACTTCCTTGTGGAATCGATTACCATCAGCGATTTTTTCGGACCGATACGACTTAGGGACCTTCAAGAAAAGAGCGTACTCCTTTTTAAAATGCCGGCAACGCATCTGCAATTCCCTCCCTAGTGTTGCAGTTGTTCATGGGCGGCGGTAGTCACTTACCATCAGGTGAGCCGCGTGCTCGTTTGCCCCCTCTCCTATAAAAAAAAATGAGGACAAGAAAGCCTTATCGCGATCAAACTTACTTTCCTTCAAACGATTATATCTTTTAACGTTCTTGAATTCTCAGAATTTTATACCGATAGTTTCGGAGAACAATTCTTTTTTTAATTATTTATTAACTTCCTTCTGCGTAGCATTGAAAGGAAGTTAATGGTTTTAGCTGGCAGTCTGTTAGTCTGTATGCCGACATGATAACTTCCATTCCACTGGACCGATTGACTTTAAATGTGGTATGTGGATACCTTGAGGTAGTAGCTCGCTCGAGTTTGAATTTGGGTGCCTGTAGGTCAAAGGGCACCAGAGATATGGGATTCACGCAGAAGGAAGTTGTTTTTCTTGAATTTACATTCAACTCGTTTTAAATAGTAGATACATCAAAGATCTTTTACTTTACATAGCTTTGTAAATTTAACAGTATTATTAAGAACTTAATTGGATAATTTGATTTTGAAATTATATTTATTTTTTAATTTTAAATCGTTAATAGGATTATCTTCTGTAACGTTTCTGACTCATGGCTTATAAAAGAGATCCTTAAATACATAAAAAAATTTAATACCATTTCTTTTTCAAAAATACTTATATAAAACACAACAACGCACATTTCGATTTGGACAAAGTTCGAAAATAAATAATACAATATTTTGGCGCCTTGCATTGTCACCCGGACCCGAACTCAGACATGAGTTTAAGAACAAAGCTAAGAAACTATGGCATTATATTATTCCTCCCACTCTAATGTATATCGGGTAACCACCCTTTGTTGTAGTAGTAATAAATGAAGTAATTTGACAGCATCTGTTTTATAACGTAGGTGTCTTCAAGGCCAGAGTCACAGAATAAATAATAGTACTAGCCAGAGTGAATAAGCTTTCTGTTAAGATAAACCAACGCACTTTACCATCTTCTGCTGCGTCATCACTTACCGTTGTTTGGATGGTAGTAAAGCTATTTCACTGATTTATAATAGTTAACAAATATATACCTAATTCCAGGTGCGCTAATGTTTAGGCAGAAAAACAGCCATCCTAACAACGACTAAAGTTAATTTTTGAAATTGTATAAAATAAGAAAATGATCTGTTCAACGTGTTATTGATAAAGTATTGTTAGTGCTAAAATTTGAATTAATCTTTACAATATATAAATTGTATGCGTTAATAAATAAAGTAATATATTTAAATACCGTAAGTATTTCAGAATAAATGTTTTCTAAAAATAGTTTGAACAGTTGCAAATAAAACAATTAATATTAGAATATGAAATTCCTTTAATAATATGCAACATTTAACAAAACCTTAGAAAGTAAATATATTACATATCAAACGATTACATAAGGATATTTTATTACTAACATTTATTTATATTATTATTTTATGTACATCAAGGTGAATACTTCATCCCAGCTTCATCTTACTAATTTACCGTGCGTTAAAATCAAACTCTTCCTCTACAGATAAAAAATAAGATATTTGGTTAGTAATTGTGTTGGATACCGACATCCGATATTCTATTATTCTCATGAAAGATCCTTTTATATTGAGTAAGGCAAGAAAAAGTGACAAAGCTAATTTATGTTGCGGAAGTGAACGCTAGAGTCGGCAAGGGACGCCATGGACGGAAGTTTATCGACCGATTTGGCGATATATTAAAGATAGGCCAAATTAATTGTACCCTTAACGGACGAGCATGTATGTGTAAGTACGAGTATATAGACGTGAAAGAACCGAGCGACGTGTTTCAGGAAAGTTAGGATCGTGCCAAATGGAAGTCCGTAGTATCTGTCTACCCGTTAGTGTGACATGCGTAAGTTTTTATGTATGTATTTTATATAAGAAAAAGTTAATAAAAATAATATCACTATCATATTTTTTTTAATATCACCAAAATTAAAATTTCAACATGCACTTTGGTAATTTAAAAACGAAACTTGATGACTTTCATCACAAACATTAGGCATTATATTTCCATATCCAATTTTTAAACGTCTACTCTCTAAGCACTTTATCATATGTATTGCTTAGTTCACGCTTCAGGGAACACTACTTTGCCCACGAGTGGGAGGTAACGCACAAACGGTCCTCCGTATGATAGCAGCATCCTGAACGGCTCGAAGTAAGAAACTAGGATATATAACGGCAGAAGATAGAACAGGAACGCAGAAACTAATGTATCAAGAACGAAGAGTCTGTAAAGAAAAAAAAATGTATTAAATGCGAAGAATAGAAATGTTTAAATTTCATAATACGCTCTAGGAAGGCTTGTGCCAGTAGTGCAATATATGTTTGTTGGATGTTACTTTACTTCATATTTTATTAATCACTGGTTTGCGTGTTAGTGATCATGTAACTTCTGGACCACTTGACTAGTTGAGGTCATATTCGCACAATAATCGCAATATATTGGTTTTGTCAAGACGACGGTTCATTAACTATGCTCGGATCCGATAAGTGGAGCTGTGGTAAAGTCTGTGGTATCAACTAATTCTATAATATTTATGGAACAAAATGAATCACATTCTCATTAAAATAACTTAAAATTGTTGAAAAGGGCGATGTGAATGTGATTGTGAATGGGTGCTGCTTATGGGGAATGGTTGTCTTAGGTCGCTTAGGTTTGCAACACATTTATTAGCTTTAATTTTGCTTATATTTTGATTGTTGTGTGATTTTATTACAGAACATGCTTTGATTATCTAATACAACTAAAAAGCCTATAAATTTTAATTAACTTGTACCATTTGTCTTTAAAAAATTACAAAAAAGAAGATACGCGTGCAGTTTATTTCAGCGATTCTTCTCCGGACAGAGCTTCGGGACGGAGGGACCTCATTTTGAAACGGTATTAGATTTAAAAAATGTTCACATTTTTCAAACGATTTTTAATTTTAACGTTGAAAAGTAACTAGTTTTAATTTTAATTAATTTCAAAGACATTAAAAAAATATGGTTTGATATTAATAATTGGGACGCTGCGCTGTTATTAATAATTGAAAATAATAAATTTCATGATTACAGTATAAAAGTCTAGATGCAATTTGGTGTGAAACTCATCATGCCACCTATCGTAATGGGCAGAACAACGTCTGTCGAGCCAGCTATTTTTTTATAAGATACTTGCATTAATAATTAATACTGTTATAAAAATAATACAATAGTCGGATAAGAGCTATTAGTGTCTGCAGTAGTGCTGCTGCCAGACTTGTTATATACCCTTTGATGCAAACTTTTCTTTTACTCATGATTTGTAGAATTCTTCGTCGACCCTCAAATAAACTACGGCTTTATATATGGCTTCCTTCAATTAATCAATCACTATATTCTTTATTGTACACAAATACACGTTAAAACGAAAAAAAAATTAATATGGAAGGTACAATAGGCGGGTTCATCGCCCTCGAAGCGATTTCTTCCAGACAACCTTTTTGTGCAAAGAACTTTCTTCATTGTATAAAAGAATCTGCCATAATCACTATGATAGCAAGCGGATTTGAGTTCGCAGTATCAGACTTAAATGACTTAGCACTTTTAACTTTGCTCCCTTTAATAAAAATGAGCACACAGTTGTAAGTGGATACTGTGACTTATAGAAACTTACATCAATCCTCGATTAAGAAACAAAATGCAGGTAAGTTATCACCCTTGAAGATAAAGTTGTAATGCCTTGTTACCATTAAAAAGGGGGTCTTATGTTATCTTTACAAACCATGCGAAACACAGCAGCATTGCGCTGCTTTTCAACAGATATTCTGTGAGAGCTAGGCTCTTTCCTGACGCTGAAGCACTCATGACCTGTTACCTGTTTAAAAAGGCCTCTGGTTCTTATCACTCATCAAACAAAATGTAGCACTGATAGAGATATTTGTCTCTGGCTATTAAAATACAGCCCCAGTTACCAAAAGATGCAACGTAGCATTATACAGATGGCAATTTTTCCTGGTTTTTAGGTTTGCAGATTAAAACAGGGGTGAAGCATTCCATATGATACTCACATATTATTTTGTAGTCTCGCTTTGGGAAGATTTTCAAGTTTTTCCTTCAGACAATACAATTTCCCCCCAATCAAGCAGCTTTCTATGTATGGTTCCACTTCGATAATGTTTAAGTCCATTGAAAACGTCTTGATATCTGTAGGGTTTAGGATTGTCGATAGTGCCTTGAAATTGTTTGTATCAAACCACCATTCGCGAGTCGTAAAGTATTGTAAGACTTCCAGCCCAACTGATATACGGTTCTGAATACGAACCATACTGAAATGAAAGAGAATTATAATACCAACTAATTCGAATAACAGGAATCCAAACTATCTTTAATATTTATGATACAAATAATCCCTATTATTGCTTATAATATTACTGATTATAATAATACTACTGTCTCGTTGGCCTAGTGTTCGTAAGTGGGACTGTTGATCACGTGGTCCCAGGATCGAATCTCAGATTGGAGTAGTAAATTATTGGCTTTTCTACCGACTTCAAAAACAGACACGGTACTCAATTCGACTGTATGTTTTTTTTATGTGTGTTACCTCATAACTTTTTACTGGGTGAACCGATTTCGATAATGGTTTTTTCATTTGAAAGCTGATGTTTCACATGTGGTCCCATATAAATTTAATCAAGATCAGACCAATAGTTTTTGAGTTATTCTTAATAAATTATATAGAAGTCGATTCTACAAAATGTTTAATTTTAAATTATTCTGTCAAGAAATTCTCAGTAGCAGTACTGAGTAAGAAAGAAGGCGGTGTTTCACCGCTGTACGTAAATCTGGTGCCTGATCTCTCTCCGGTCGTATCAGACTTCCGTCTCATCGGACTATGGAAATGGAGAGTGCAACAGTATTTGTGCACACACTTGTGCACTATAATCCTGTCCTGCGCAAGTGGCTTGTATTCGTAGAGACTAGCCTCCGCTCCGTGTCCAAAGAATTGTCTAAAGGGTACTATAATAATAAAAAAAAAAACAATAAAATAATTAAAATTACGCATAATCAGCGACAATTTTCTCAATTTTTTTTAATTAATTTGAAAGATTTTCGTTCCAAAACAATGAAAAATCCGAGTTATATTAACAAATTCTTTTTTAGAATACTTACAATCTTTTTTGTCCAAATATGAGCATTAAAAAATCGATGAGGTAAGCCGGAAGAATGTGAAAGAATAAAACACAGAGGTCATGAATAAACTTGTTATGTCGTATGTTGCCGCCAGGGTACCAAAGTGGACCTTCGAAAGGATATTTACGGGCCGTAGCTTTCCCCACATCAAGTACTTCTTTCCAAGTCGTAGTCCTGTCATCACCTGATGTTAAGTTGAAGACTGGGATTTCAGGACTTCTGTGTACAACAAAGAACATGACATTTAAAGTGAGAAAAATGAAGTAGTTGACGGATTCTAGTAATTTGTTGTGTAGTATATCATTATCAGCTCGTCTACAATACTATCCAGTGCTTGATGAAATTAATATTATAATTTATTTGTATAATATATAATACATAAAGTAGTTAGGGTTCTATCAGACAGAAGGCGTTTACACGTTCAAGCATTCTGCGTTTGAGTCCTTCGTTCATTGTGTTGTACAGTGAAACCTGGTTAATTGGGATCTCAAGGGACCAAGACATATGTACCAATTATTGAGGGTTTCCAATAATCCAGTTTTCCAACTAAGCAGGTTTTAGCTATAGTTGTCTCATTTACAGAGGCCCCCGTACTGACAAACAAAGCGTGCGCGAAAGGCGACGCGAAATGTATGTAAACAAACATGTCAAAACGTGTTAAAACCAGATTAATTTGTCTCACTTATACAGTTAATTGAGCTCAATTATAGTGGTAAACTTCGAAAAATTCTTAGAATTCAAATCTCATTTAACTAGGTTCAAAAAGTCCCATTAACAGAGGTAATTTCTACACGCACCATACGAAACACAGCAGTTTTAAGCTGCAATTTTACGCTGGTACCTTCCCCGGCAGCATTAAGCTGTTATTTTACGCTGGTATTCTGTGAGAGCGTGGTCCTTCCCCGGTCGAGCCAACCCATTCGTGCTACAACTATACTACTAATATAGCTGCAGCATGGCTCTGCCACGTATAAAACTGAACGCTCAAACGCAAAACGCGAACGCGGAACGCTTGAACGCGTGACCGCTTTCTCTCTCATAGAACGCTTTAAGTTAAAGTTAAAAGTTACAGGCTATTTACATCGCACTGCTGGGCACAGATCTTCTCTCATATCTGTGAGGATTTTAGGGCAAGGAAATGTCCACCGCGCTGCCCCAATACGTGTTGGCGAACTTCACATATCTTCGAACGACATATTTTTTCTTATTACTCAGACATGCAAAATTCCTCACGATGTATTCCTTCACCGCCGAGCAAGTAGTAAATAAGCATTTAAAATTGCAATTAACAATTTCATTAGTGTCGGAGGGGTTCAAATGGAGGTTGCTCGCGTATGACCTTCAACGAATACCGTTTGGTGATTCTGAGTATAAGGTACGCAAGTATGCAACTCTCGTCGACACACTCACAATCTTTACAACGTTGTTAATGAGAGACTTGTGGATGATAAATCCGATACCTCCTTGGGATAGATGGTCGCTCTCCCGGTGATAGAACAAGATGCCGGATTCGAGGATTACCGTGTCCTTCCCTCTCTTCGAACCCCAGATAATCCTATAATATCCCAGCGCAACTTGTCTATCTCTTCTTCCAGCTCCAGGATCTTCTCGTCAGTCTTCAGGGTGCGTGCGTTGTATGTTGCCAGGTCGAGTCACCTTAGGTAGCAACTAAACCTCCACCGGAGATACTTAGCACCCCCTGCCCCGCCGTTACCATGGTCGCCACCGTAGCCAAGAATAGCGGGACAGCCGGGGACTGGGGGGCGTTTCTTCGTAACTTTCGTCATGTGGGGATGTTCGTCATAGTTGCCACGCTTTGCGAGCGGGTTGGCAACCGCAGTATTTTTTATTGTAGTATTATTGTCATCAGAAAGACGCTGCTCATCTCCTGCTTATTTCCCACTGTCGCCTCTTACAACACTCACGGGAAGATATGCGGTAGTGGATATTCTCAACCGCCACTACACGGCTGTGTGCAGGTGGTATGCCGGCATGAAATATTGTCCCGCTCTGCTGAGCACGCCAAGCTTTTTAGAGGCAAATTTGGCATTCTGTTCCAAATTGACCACGATACTGCACGTCACTCGATATGTCGACGCCGAGGATTCTAGTACAGACTGAGGCAACAAGGGGAGTGCCTTGAAACTGAAAAGATACGACAAAGGGGTTCTTTTTAGCAGTAAACGCGCAAGCCCCAATCCGAGATTTTGTTCAACAAAGACAACTTTGATGCTCCGATCTGCCAGGAAACTTCTTCCCCGGTCGAGTCGATCCACTCGTGCTACGACTGTAGCTGCAGAAAAGCTCTACCACGTTTAAAATATACAATAACATTTCTTAAAAATGCTGATACACATTTCGTTGTAACCTACGTAAAGACGTTTAACTGTTGTACAAGTGACTGTTTTTAAATTTTATAGTATACGTGTAAGTCGATTTTCATTATTCTCGGCCCCGCTGAAATTATTAATTAAAATAATTATTTAATTTTAATTTTAAGTGCTAATTTAAATTGTTAAAGTATAAACAGGCATCAACCGCGTGCAGTGTACTCTTCTGACGGAAGGATAAGACTCTGGTGTAAAACCAATAACGAAATATTATGTAACTATGTACAATTGTACTCAAACATTGTGGTAACCGAGTTTAGGTGGTGGATTCATATCAGCGCGAGTGAAGATGAAAATTGATGTTTAGTAGAGTTAAGAAAATACCTTTCAGATTGACTGTTGATGTAGTAAGGAATAACGATTATAGCGTTGATTGCAATGTCCACTGGTATCACCTCGGCGTGGTAATGACCAATGCAATACATGGATCGAATGACGCCCTTCCCGGCGCCTACCATAAGACCGATGGGTCCGTTTAAATTGTCCACCCATCCTTGTAATGGTTCTTTATACGAAGGAGTCACTGTAAAAATAATTTCATTTTATTGTATTTCTTAAAATTTTTGTCACTTTGTAAACATCAGTGAGAACTAGTTTATAGGTGCAGTGATTATTTATTTACTTCTAAATAGTTTTAAAATGTTTACGTTTTAGTAGTTGCTGGCCATTAATAATGTAATAATAATGGGAACTCGTTTTTCTTTTTTTATAAATGTATATTTTCGAATGTGTTTAATTACATATAATTTTAGAAATTTTGCTTGATTTGCCGCCATTTCTCATACCATTGTTTACCTATACCTTTATTCGTTAATAAAAACAGAGTTTCATACTAATAAGAACCTTCACAGATCAATCTTATATTTGTGATCTCATTAATGACAGGTATACCGATAATTCCTCTGCCATAAAGACCGCTGGCGGATTTCTGCTACTGTTTTATCGTTTTAAAGGATACCTATGCTATGATAATATTCACATTATCACTTACAGCAGTCGTTGGACACTAAGTGTTTGTGCTAAGAGGTATAATTATAAATAAATGTAACAAACAATAACCTAATTAGTAACTGTTTTGGATTGAGAATTAATATATCGCTTACCAATACTCGGCCGAACGACAGATACTGGTAGCTCTGGATAGTGCTCTTTAACTAGAGCTTCTGCTAGTCTCTTCGAATATGTATAGGAATTTGCGTGTTTCTGCAGAATGGAAGGGGTCAAGAGTTTGACCTGCTCGTCAGTGAGCCAAGTCGCGGCACGCAACACTTCGTGCGGATTTACTGGTGGATCGTGAACCTGAAAATCAATTTTATTGATTGAAATGCCACTCAAGGTTTCAGGATTTATGCAACATAAAAAATAAACTAAATAATTTTACATATCATCTAAAAAGAAAAAATATATTATCAAACATAAACATACATGAACAAATAAATTAAATATGCTAAAATTATTTTATGAACGAATAGAATGGAATAAAATATTATTTCTTAATAGGGAAGTTGTTTGCTTTTTGAATTTGTAAATATTTGTCTATGGTAATCCGTAACTTTTGCTTTTTTATTTTAAATGTTTTTCTTTATAGAAGAGGCAAATATAAATTTATACGGGAAAAGTTGTAATTTTGAAATCGAATATTGAGAATCAAAAGATGTAATAATATATTAAGTAGTTTATTTATTTATCCATTATCAAAGTTTAATCAAATATCTTACCATCTCATGTAATTGAACAATAGAAGTATTATTTTATGGCCTACCTAATTCAACCGGTAAAATAACTTTTGTTTTCAAATGTAACACAACCGATTGGGCCATGAATAAGTCATGAGGTTTCAACAGTACTTTATAATGCAATTTTATATCGAAGTCAACAAGTGAAAAATGCAACTACTAATCATTCAACAGTCTGTTCTCTTAATGTGACAATTAACAAAACATTTTTAAGCTTGAAATAAATATTTTAAATTCCGTATTCCGCAGAATATGATTTAAATTAGTATTCTGTATATTTTATAAGAATAGATGTCATAATAAATCGAAAAAAATATATCTGTTACGGGTTATGCCCGAAGAAAGCGTAAATTTAACTTTACCCGGTGCTTCTTGCTTAATGTGCTTCCTTCTTATGTCAAAGTTATTTTTTATAATTATAATGTTTAAGTTTCTATTGTCATTGGTTACAGAATTAAGATCACCGCGTAGTGGGTACCAGACTAATATGCTAAGGTTTAAATTCCTGATGAAAACAAAACACAATTCGAGTATGCATGCGGTTGTTGAAAAGCCGACGCCCCAACTTATCCCATAAAAATTATATCGGGTTCGGATTATACACTATTTTCTAGTTACATAACTTTATGTGAAAATATTACCAAGGTTGAAATGAGGGAACGTCCTCCACATTACCACATTACGTAATCAAAGGATTTAGGTTCTCTCTACAATGTATAGGTAGTGTTTCATCGATTACGTGTAGGCTAGGGCCTTTTTATTTTACCATACTTTATTGTATTATGTAGTTGAAAACTTTTCAAATTTTATCAAAGCGAGTTCAAAATTGATTAGAACTACTTTTATTATAATAACCATCTTTCTTCTTCTTTAGCCCGTAAAATGACATGGGTCTCTCCTGTTGTAAAGGATTACTATAATCGCTACACATGCAGACTGATTAGCGGATGCAGATATCACGTATATTTTACCATCAATTAAAATCTTTCTGATATTTACTATAGTTGTCATTCATATTATTTAGTCCAGTATTTATATCTTTAAGAATATAAGACAGAATCCAAGTTATTTTTACCTTTTCTGCCATCCTCACGTAGTCAGGATAACAAAATGCAGTAGAAAGATGTACGAAAGATACGAGGTTCTTTATCCTTTTGGCTACATCAAGCACTCGCATAGTGCCCCTTGTGTTCATCTCAAGGCCTTCCTTCAAAGGTGCTTCTAGGCGGAGGCTGGCCGCAAAATGAAAAACAACCGACACCTAGAATTTTATATGTTTATGTATATATTTTTCCGTATACCACAAAATACGAACTGATAACAGGAAGAAAAACCAACGGGATAGGTACAATAAGGCTATCTTATAGCTAAAGAGCGCTCTCTTTTAGACAATCTTAAGATTAAAAAAAATTAAAATGTTCACTATCCAGAGGATAATTTATGATATCATAAAGTTAGATTCTGATATATAAAAGTAAATAGTAATTTATACAAAAAATTATATTATTTATTTATCTCAACAACAAAGGTAACAATATATAAACACAGGTAACTGTAGGTACTAAACTAAGCGCAGCTTGCATCTCAGGACCTTGGCATGCAATATTACAAAATGGTGAAACGCGCATAATCCGATATTTGTCTCCAAGTCGCTAACGTTAGAACTGAGATGATTAATGAGTGTGAAAGATAAGTAACTTGTTGCTCTAAATATTTAGCGCTATTGACAATTTCCGGCAGTATTCGAAAGATGTGATATAGCTGTGGTCGCAATCAGTCTGGAAAAATAATATTTTTTTGTTTTCATTTGATAAGAAAAGAAAAAGATTATCAAGATCGTGGAATTATCGAAAAATAGGAATTTTCAAATATAAATAACCTTGCGATGATTGAAAATAGTTTATCAATTTATGTTCTATAAATTTTTAGTTAAGTTAAAATTGAATGTATATTTATTTATCTTTCAGTCTCCACAAGTTTAGTTACGTATATTCTAGGAACTTTACCGATGAGGTTCATCTCATTACAACATGCCGCCTTAAGGTCTTAAACCGCTTTCACTTCATTTTACATTTCTCAATAGATCTTCTCAATAGATCTCACATTAACATCCGTGTAAAATACAAAAATGTTGCGTAATCGAAGAATAGTGATATTCATTTAATTTTGTATATCTGTTATTAGGTGCTTAAAAACATATCTGGTAATAAAGTGAAAGCAATGTAACAAGTTTCATCTCTGTAAGTGTTCTGGAGCAGGAAAAAGTCTGACTCATTGTTCTAATGACGTAACGTAACGAGAAATTCAAAAATATTCGGAGGCTACATGAAATGTAAGCCATATTTCACGTATCCTCCGAATAATTTTGAATATCTTGACCATTCAGGTTTTCTCCCTAGGTTTTCCTTCACCACTGATCACGTGATCATCAGCACTTAAGATAACGGTGAACAGATTCTCGTCTAACAGGCGGCCAGCACTGTTGGTGGAAATCAAGTCGAACTATGAAATTTAAGGCCCAGTCCCTAAATCTGAGCTACGACTGATCTGTATTTTCTTATTATTTAAACATCTTATTGTATTTACATTTATTTACCTCATCATATATCTGTTCAAGTAGTTTTGAGTCAATTCCTAGATTGTCGTTCATGATGTCACCTGATACTGGGATCAATTTCTTCATTACATGTGGTTTCTCTTCCCTTATTCTTGAGAACAACTGAAATTTTAATATTTCAACCATTTTCAAAATTAGTATGTAAAAACAAGACTTTGATTTGAATGTTAGATATGTATTTTTTAATTACATAACTTAGAAAGATGATTTATTTTTTTATTTGCTCTATGAGGATAGAAATTTAATTATGAAAAGTGTTATACCAATTTAACATTATTCTGGCATTGTTATATAATTAGATTGAGTTGGCAAATCACAAGCAAACTTACCGGTAGTTTCCACATGTCTTCGATGCGTGATTCCGGTGTTTTGCCACGTTTCGAGCGCACCAATGCGTACACGCAGCCTACATCGGGCACGCTGTAAAGAATCTTTTCGATAAGAACTTTCCCCATGAGGCCCGAGGCACCAGTAACGAAAACATTACGGCCTCTGTACCACTCGTTCACTTCCGACTTCATATTGAACAACCTGAGAAAGGGATTAAGAATTAACGTAACGTAACTTTTTTACATTCAAAGTTTACACTATCACCATTATGATTATTAAATTAGCCCATAAATAATCAACAGCTTGGCATCCTTTCCAATAATAGGACAATGTGTCGTAATCGCCACGCCGCATTAGCTATCGCTTAATTAATAGTATAATATGTATGTAGACCTCTGAAGTGGCATCGCCGCTTGGGCATTTTACATCAGGCACGCATAAGATAGTTATACTATCTGCTTTATTGTTTTGGGTATTATCTATTGTTGATTCCTAATGATACCCACGAGACAAAATGTATGCACTACTATCATTTATTCACCTGTTCATAACCTGTAATTAACCTTCTCTCTCAAATGGGTAGGATTCGCGGCAATTGCTACAGCTTGGTCATTACTTCATAGATTCATTTTGAATAAAGTCTTTTAACCGTCTTCAAAAAAGGAGAAGGAACTCAATTTGACTGTATTTTTTTCTTTTATATGTGTCACCTCAGAACTTTTTTCTAGGTGAACCGATTTTGATGATTCTTTTTCTGAAGCTGGTGCTCCTCACGTAATTCCATATAAAATTGATCAAGATCTGACCAGAAGTTTTGAGTTATCCTTAATAATGCGTATTTAATTGACTTCGACTACATTGATGATGTTCTCATTTTATTTAAATAAAATTTTCTGTAACTAAACAGTTTAGTTATTAAAATATCAACTTTAAATCTAGTTTAGATAGAACTGGACAAACTAATAGGTGTAAAACAATTTAAATATAACATAAGCATTATATATGAATACGCAATTATTAGCAAGAACCAAAGTTGATCCTTTTTATCGATTAAAATAGTTCTTCATCAGTTCAAAGGTACTTGAAAATAATTACTTAAGATCGAAATGTTTAGTTACTTAACGAACCATCAATGATAGGTGAAACTGGTTATTTTGTAATGAGTACGCACAATATAAAGATTGCGTCGATAAATATTTCTGTCATCAATCAATGCGTGGATCTTAATTACATTTTGCATTAATAATATATACCGTAAATTATAAGTAAGACGTATTAATTGACTTAGAAATTGCAAATGATGTATCGCAACCATATAAACACCTACAGTATTTTTGTGTAGAATCACAAAAAATATACTCAAAAAAATATACAATAACAAAAAAAAATGGAAGATAATGATCAGATAATAGGATCGATCAGAATATGGTCACCAGAAATCGTGCAGTTTCTGATTTCTGAAATGTTTTGATAAATAAGCAAGTGGAGTTCAAATTCTAGTAGGAATCAGTCTATCAAGTTAGAAAATACATCAACCGTCTTTCTAAGTACCTTAATAAATATACATAATACGTGGTAAAGTCACGCTGCAGCTACATTATGGTTGCAGCATGAATGGGTCGGCGCGTTCGGGATAGGAACGCGTTCTCACAGAATACGTAGAAAACACAACCCTATTTGTAGAATTTGAAGGATAACCTACTGAATTAAAACTTATATTTAAAGATTTTGAGAAATATGAAAGGAAAAGGTAAAATATGTATGGCAGTGCTTTTCCGAACGCTTGTTTGATTTCACGATTGAAGAAGAGGATCAATGCTTTATAGCAATTTTGATTAAACATTTAAAATTTATGTTTATGCAAATACTACACATTGGATAAAACAAATTTTACGGATTATATTGCGTTTAATGAGGGCATCCACGACTTTACCTGCCACCAGGGCGGCGCCACTTTACAATGAGGTAAAATATTTGACAGATATATTAGTCATAGCGGAGATGATTCTTTCTTAGGAAAATGTAAACTTTAACGTTTCTTTCAAAGACGACTTTCTGATATGGTTGAAAGTAAAGAATGAACTAACTTATCAATGCTGATTACCTACTCAAGCTGTTAATTATATGTGTAATTGTTAATGTAACTACAAAATGTAAAGTACAAATAACATAGGTATGTAAACCTTAAATATGTTTAGTTTATTAACAATTTAAGAGAAAACAATTGTTTATTCTTATAATATTATGGATTAGTTCTCAAAAAGTTGATCAAACCAATAATTGTTGTTTTTTTTTACAAATTATACTTTTAATAAACCCCGTAACAACTTACCCCATCCTATTAACAACTTACCCCAAGACGGGGTAAGTTGTTACTTTCTGACTTTATGTATTGTAATATTAAATGGAAAAAAATCTAACGACAAATGTTCCAAAAAACCTTCTTTATATCGTCGTTACATATATTTCCAGATTGTGACCTGGTAAAACTAATGTTACAGCTATTTATTCTTATGTAAATATTATGTTAAATTAAAAACGGAACTCTTAGCCCCGCTCTCCCCTACACATAAATTTGAAATGGCATGTTTAAAATAGTTGTAAAGCTGTGACATTTACACAAAACATTTTCTATTTCATTAATGTATTCAATGAATTAATGCGATGGTAGGTATGCATAATGAAAGTAGGATAGACAGTTAACACGCGAATCTACGAACTCGACCACAAGAAATCTAACCTACACAAGAAATCTCACGCCTACCGCAATTTGGATGTTATGATAGTGATATTAAATTAGTAGTTATTACATAAACGCAGGTCGATGACGAGTCTTATATCACATTAAGTTTACTAAATTTCTTTGTTTTCAATAGGCAATAATTATATCGTATTTTATCGCCACTGAAATAATTATGCGCAACTTTAAGTATTGACTAAACACGTGCTCAACTGTAAAGGAAAACATTGTGAGTAGCAAAACTAAATATTAAAGAATATTTTGACAATATTAGAAGTACACTGATTAAGCTTGGGAGTTTTTGTAACCTATATATCAGAGTAAGGCGTTAGATTGCATAAACCAGGACAAAAACTTAGTTAATATTATAAAATTAAACCTGTCTTATGGGTTACAAAAAGTATTTATTAATAGAATTAAGTCTTTAAGAGCATTTTTACTTACTCCGAGGATCAGTAGTGGAGCGTCTTTTCATCTTTCCAATATTTATATAAATGTTGTTCCATTCTACGCTAAAAATATGTAACAGTATTGTTTACTGATGATATCTCTCAAGTGTTTGAAAAATAATAGAGGTAAAAACTCATTAGACGATGTAAAAGATGCTGTATCTCAATTACTTACATTGGCGGACAACAAATAACTTGCTGCCGAATGTAAAAAACCTTAAATTAATACCTTAAATTTTCTTCAGCTCTAAATCTAAATCCAATAACTAGTCATAGATCAAGTATTTGAATTAGTAGATTTCGCAGTTTTCCTTGATATCTATCTTTATACTCTCGATTAAAATAATAGTGCAGTTTCAAGTTAATGTAGATGTAAATAAAATAGCCAAACGCTGAGTTATATTTTCCGTATCCTTTTCGTCTAAAAATTTAAGATTGCATAAAATACCTCTATAAAAATCGTTACCAACTCTCCGGTTACACCGTTAATAATTCGGTAACACGGTTACGCAAAATAGTTGTGACATGCCAGGTGAAGTATGCACTTTACCCGTAAAATATGTGACCACCACTAAAGATTTGTTTTTACTTGACATGTTGAAATAAACGCCTTGTATATACTAGATATGAAATACCCACACCGACGATGGAGAGCATGTCAAAAGTGCGAGACATATAGAACGGTGATCGCCAGTCTGCCTGCCAAACGTGGCAATTTCGTCTAATCTTTTCTGTAATTGGAAATTCTGTTACGGGATGATAAAGGAGTGATACATAAGAAAATTTTAACCTGCTTCCAAATCGACATACTTTGAAAAAACTTTATAATAAAATGTTTTACCGCTTAAAAGTAAAAACTTTTGTACAACTATTAAAATTTCTGTCTCTTTTAACATGTTTTTTGTACGTGGTAGAGCCACACTGCATTTGTATTATTGCTGAATCGCAAAGCGACCGGAGAAGGACGTAGTCCTTATAATACATAGAGTTGTCTACACACGGCAGCAGTCACTATTAGTTGGACAGTATGTACCTACCTTTTATAAAAGAAGTAATGGTGCCAAATGAGCACACAGTCCATCTGATTATAAGTGAATGCTGTGGCCTATAGACACATACATTTATCAACTTTTAAGATAATTTTAGGAGGTTAGGTTATTATTATTTATTACTTAGTTATTCGTATTTATTTTACTCGCGTGCTTTGATTGATCGCGTGTTATGAAATGTATTAAAGTTGACTAGGTCTCCTTTCTACCGAGGAGTAAAAATAGCTCTTACCTATTTCTCGCAAAATAGCAATATTTGCACTGCTGTATTTCGGTTGGAGTTTCAAAGAGCCAGTGTAATTATAGGTCGTTAGATATTCCGTTATTCTTCAGAGGTGACGAATCTGTAACTTTCTTGGTTTGCAGTTGGTTGCAGGTGTCCAGGGGTGGACTGCAAGTTTGTTGGACACTTCAGTTTTATAATAAGTGTGCGCTTTACCTAACCTCCTAAAATTATCAGTTATCAAAATGTCCGTTGCAAAAGGTGCGTTGTCACCCCTTAGGACTGAATTGTAATGCCTCGTTAATAGTAAAAAGTGTCTCCGGTTCTCGTACCTCACCCTACGAAAAGCAGCAGCAGTATACTGACCCTTTTCGTGCTGCACCAATAATACATTTGCAGCATGGCTCTACCATGCTTAGAATATGTTTGTTACTCTTACTTCTATAAAAAAATGACAGAAATTTAAATAGTTGTGTAAAGTGTTTTACTTACAGCTTCAAAGTTACAATGAAGTGTCAAAAATATAAACAATCACAACGCATCTAGAAAGTTATCTGTATTTCGATACAAATTATTTCTCAAACTGAAATGCAAGCCCAAGACTGGCGAAATGGTAGATGGTTACTCACTTATATATATATAGCATAAGCAATGTATCAGAAACAGGACTGCCTCAAATGTCTCTGCGTTTACGTCTCACCGAAATGAGACGTAAACGCAGATCGCTTAC